CATGCTGCGTTTTTGATGTGGTTTTTTTAGTCACATGACCTACAAAAAATGCACCTTAAATATGGTAAAATCGCAGGTAAAATCACAGCAAAATAATTAATAAAATCGCAACAAGATCGTGGGTAAAATCGTGGCAAAACCACAAGTAAAATCTCAGCAAAATCATGGCAAAATTGCGGGTAAAATCACAGCAAAATTCCAGGCAAAATCGCTCCAAAATCATGGATAAAATTAGGGGTAAAATTGTGGCAAATTCATGGGTAAAAACTCGGCAAAATTAAAGTTAAAATCAGGGGTAAAATTGCAGCAAAAACCAGGGTAAAATTGCAACAATATGACTTTGTTCCACAGAAAACAATGCCATGATCGCGGCAAAAATGCCCCGCGTTTTCAGGTGCCATTAAAAAGAATGGCACCTGAACATGCATTCATACGTTTTCCCATTGTCGCAGTGCATTTTCAAATCGTGGGCAGAATTGCAGTGAATGGAGTGTGAATGGAGCCTTATGTTCCTTTGTTTCTGTTCTGTTGTGGCCAGAATTGTGATCATACTGAAGCATACAAGCAGCGGCAGCTGTTACAAAAATAGGAAGAAGAATTCAAATTTTTCATCACAGCAGACAACCGTAGTATGTGTATGTATGAATGTGAGTTAGGGACTTTAGATTGTACGCCCCTTGAGGTTTAGGGACTGATGTGAATTTACAATATATCTATATAAAGTGCTGCGTAATGTGACAGTGCTGTATAAATCCTGTAATAAATAATTCTGGGCATGTGGCCATATTTATCCTGGGATTAAAAACAGAATGTCAGGGCAATTAGTTTCTATTCTGATGTGACTGAAGGGTGAGTGATTACATGTGAGGTTAGCAGTGGCAGCTGGGAAATGTGTTTTCTGTTGAAGTGAGCAAATATACTTTCATTATGTACAGGCCTAGTGTACCCACCCACACTCACTGCAATACCCAAAGGTTGATGGGAAGTGTAGTTTCCTGAGAGGAGAGGATATGATGTAATCCCTGCTATTACACCTCCTCCTTGGCAGATCGGATGCTGTTATCTTTTGAATTACAGAGAGACTCAGATGGTTAAATTAGACTTTTCTCTTCTATCGTAAGGAATTTCAAAAATGTATTAACTGTTTAGTGTTTTGCATACAGGTGAAACTCAAAAAATTAGAATATTGTGCAAAAGTTCATTTATTTCAGTAATGCAACGTAAAAGGTGAAACTAATATATGAGATAGACTCATTACATGCAAAGCCAGATAGTTTAAGCCGTGATTTGTCATAATTGTGATGATTATGGCTTACGGCTCATGAAAACCCCAAATCCACAATCTCAGAAAATTAGAATATTGTGAAAAGGTGCAATATTCTAGGCTCAAAGTGTCCCACTCTAATCAGCTAATTAAGCCATAACACCTGCAAAGGGTTCCTGAGCCTTTAAATGGTCTCTCAGTCTGGTCCAGTAGGAATCACAATCATGGGAAAGACTGCTGACCTGACAGTTGTGCAGAAAACCATCACTGACACCCTCCATAAGGAGGGAAAGTCTCAAAAGGTAATTGCAAAAGAAGTTGGATGTTCCCAAAGTGCTGTATCAAAGCACATTAATAGAAAGTTATGTGAAGGGAAAAGTGTGGAAGAAAAAGGTGCACAAGCAGCAGGGATGACCGCAGCCTGGAGAGGATTGTCAGGAAAAGGCCATTCAAAAGTGTTGGGGACTTTCACAAGGAGTGAACAGAGGCTGGAGTCAGTGCATCAAGAGCCACCACACACAGATGGATCCTGGACATGGGCTTCAAATGTCATATTCCTCGTCAAGCTGCTCCTAAACAACAAACAATGTCAGAAGCGTCTTACCTGGGCTAAAGAAAAACAGACCTGGTCTGTTGCTCAGTGGTCCAAAGTCCTCTTTTCTGATGAGAGTAACTTTTGCATCTCATTTGGAAACCAAGGACCCAGAGTATGGAGGAAGAATGGAGAGGCACACACTGCAAGATGCTTGAAGTCCAGTGTGAAGTTTCCACAGTCTGTGTTGATTTGGGGAGCCATGTTCATCTGCTGGTGTTGGTCCACTGTGCTTCATTAAGTTCAGGGTCAACGCAGCCATCTACCAGGAGATTTTGGAGCACTTCATGCTTCCTTCCGCAGATGAGCTTTATGGGGATGCTGACTTCATTTTCCAGCAGGACTTCGCACCCGCCCACACTGCCAAAAGCATCAAAACCTGGTTCAATGACCGTGGGATTACTGTGCTTGATTGGCCAGCAAACTCGCCTGACCTGAACCCCATAGAGAATCTATGGGGCATTGCCAAGAGAAAGATGAGAGACATGAGACCGAACAATGCAGAAGAGCTGAAGGCCGCTATTGAAGCATCCTGGTCTTCCATAACACCTCAGCAGTGCCACAGGCTGATAGCTTCCATGCCACGCCACATTGAGGCAGCAATTGCTGCAAAAGGGGCCCAAACCAAGTACTGAGTACATATGCATGCTTCTACTTTTCAGAGGTCCGATATTGTTCTATGTACAATTGTTCTTTTATTGATTGCATGTAATATTCTAATTTTCTGAGATTGTGGATTTGGGGTGTTCCTGAGCTGTAAGCCATAATCATCACAATTATGACAAATCACGGCCTGAACTATCTTGCTTTGCATGTAATGAGTCTATCTCATATATTAGTTTCACCTTTTAAGTTGCATTACTGAAATAAATTAACTTTTGCACGGTATTCTAATTTTTCGAGTGTCACCTGTAGAGTGGTGTACTAATGAATTTTTTTCGCCTATCCCAGAGTTCTTCTTTAATGTCAAACCATTTTCAGACATATTCTTTTCAATATTGTTAAAAGTGACACTGTCAGTCATGTATTTGGATATGTAAAAAGCACATTGCAGGAACTTTCTGACACAGAATCAATTTTCATTGCAATTTTGTAAGGATCTGTGACAGTATTGTGCTATGTTGAATATAACTATAACCAATACAAAACTGACATATTTCTAAAGCAGTGAAACATTCAGCAAACATTTGTTGCAGGTCAATCTTCCTGGTGCATGTGTTTTCAATAGCAGCGATTGATTTACCACCATCAGTGAATGTTTAGTTAAGGTCACATTTACTGCTTTATATATATGCCCGCAAATATCAAAACACTGAATGATTGCATTAAAAATGACTAATTTCTATTGTTCTATGTTGATAAAGGATAGTTATGCAAGTACCACTTAATTAGCCCTGTTCAACAGATGTGCATGTTGTGTGAAATAAAGGAGCTTCTAAAGGTTGTTTTACAGAATAAAAGGCAGCACCAGTTAAATGAGCTATAGGTGGAAATAATATTACAGAAATTCCCCAATAAGAAGATCTATGGCAATAAAAAGTTTAATTAACAAAAAAAAACCTAAGCCCTTGTAAATTGAAAGCCAAATAGGCATTATGTTATCTAAAACATATTTCATAGCTGGATCTGTTTCTGTGAGGTTGATATGGCTTTATGCATTAGAGATTCACATTACATTTTCACACAGTAAATGCACATTAGGTTTGTGTATAAAAAGATATTCTTATTATAATTATGTGGATATGTTGAAACATATAACTCATCATTTTAATACTACGTAATATTCTGTCTACAGATACACAGTATATATAATTTTAGAGTGTTTCGATTAAAAATATGCAAAGTGTCATTGGCCAGTTTTGCTTTATAAATGGCAGTAATACAGCACTTATGTTATTCTAAAATTCCTTACTTTACACAAATATGTATAACAACATAATAGACTTGCTTTAAAGTGTGTTCCACTCTTCAAGACAATGCGGAAAACCTCTCACCTACCCTTTGGTGTGGAAGGCTGACTGGTCTCCCTGCCAAGAACCAATGAGCTGTTTGTGAAAAATAAGACATCAGGTTGTTCCATAACTCAGAGTTTTGCAAGTTTTTTGGTGAGACATAGCCATGACCCATTGCTTATTAGGTCAAGGCTGTGCCATGCTGAGGAATGTTGAACAGTTCTAAGAACATCAATAGTGTCAGAGCTGCTATTCTACAATCAATGATAAATGGAAGGTGCAAGCAGCAAGTTAGCCAAAATTCATAATAAATTGGAAATGCCACCCAGGGATTGATTTTCACAGGCAGAGGTATGTCCCTGAAACACAGTGAGGGTTGATTTACTAAAACTGGCGCACTCACAATCTGGTGCAGCTTTGCATGGTAGCCAATCAGCTTCTAACTTCAACTTGTTCAATAAGCTTTGACAATAAAACCTGGAAACTTTGTCCTACATACTGCATATTGTATATATGACTATAAAAAATGCAAAATACACTATATTCCCAAAAGTATTGGGACGCCTGCCTTTACACACACATGTACTTTAATGGCATCCCAGTCTTAGTCCGTAGGGTTCAATTTTGAGTTGGCCCACCCTTTGCAGCTATAACAGCTTCAACTCTTCTGGGAAGGCTTTTCACAAGGTTTAGGAGTGTGTCTAAGGGAGTGTTTGACCATTCTTCCAGAAGCGCATTTGTGAGGTCGGATTAGAAGGCCTGGCTCGCAGTCTCCGCTCTAATTCAACCCAAAGGTTTAGGTCTAGACTCTGTGCAGGTCAGTCAAGTTCCTCCACCCCAAACTCACTCATCCATGTCTTTATGGACCTTGCTTTGTGCACTGGTGCACAGTCATGTTGGCACAAGAAGAGGCCATCCCCAAACTGTTCCCTCAAAGTTGGGATCATGAAATTGTCCAAAATGTCTTGGTATGCTGATGCCTTAAGAGTTCCCTTTACTGGAACTAAGGGGCCAAGCCCAACCCCTGGAAAACAACCCCACACCATAATCCCCCCTCCAGCAAACTTTACACTTGGCACAATGCAGTCAGGCAAGTACCGTTCTCTTGGCAACTGCCAAAACCAGACATGTCCATCAGATTGCCAGACAAAAAAGCATGATTTGTCACTCCAGAGAACACATCTCCACTGCTCTAGAGTCCAGTGGCAGCATGCTTTACACCACTGCATCTGACGCTTTGCATTGCACTTGGTGATGTAAGGCTTCGATGCAGCCATGGAAACCCATTCTATGAAGCTTTCAAGTCACTGTTTTTGTGCTAATCTGAAGGCCACACGAAGTTTGGAGGTCTTTAGCGATTGACTCTGCAGACAGTTGCCGACTTTTGCGCACTGTGCACTTCAGCATGTGCTGACCCTGCTCTGTCATTTTATGTGGCCCACCACTTAGTGGCTGAGTTGCTGTTATTCCCAGTTGCTTCCACTTTGTTATAATACCACTAACAGATGACTGTGGAGTATTTAGTAGCAAGGACATTTCACGGATGGACTTATTGCACAGGTGCCAACCTATCAAGGTACCACACTTGAATTCACTGAGCTCCTGAGAGTGACCCATTCTTTCACAAATGTTTGTAGAAGCATGCCTAGGTGCTTGATTTTATACACATGTGGCTATGGAGGTTATTAGAACACCTGAATCCAATGATTTGAATGGGTGTCCCAATACTTTGGGCAAAAACGTGTTTGTGTTTGTTTGTTTGTTTTATTACAGTAAAATCAGAAGAATTACTTTACCTGCTATATTTTTCTCTATCTATTTTTTATTGTCTAGTATATTGTATAGTAAACAATAAAAGTATTAGTGCCAAAAATATAGCAGGTAAAAGAAAAAGCTCCCAAGGTAGACCAGCTACAGTCACTTGTCAGATTACAGCACCTGATAATCAGTCACATAAATCAAAATGGTATATAAACTATAAAATGATTTTGTCAATAAACAAAACTTCTTAAATGAATAAAATCACCTATCTATAAAACAATGCAGGAAATAAACTGATGTTGCAGGAAAACCTTTCAGCATCTGAGTTATTGGGAGGCATAGAATAATTCATCTGTGCATTTAATGTCAAATCACTTGTCAGTAGTAAAGAAAGAACATACAGCTTACATGTCCAAACTGTTGTGCATCTCACATGCCTTCTATCTTACTGAAGAAGATCGCTTTTATCTCAAATAGGCTTCACACTTAAATGTATCCAAACCCAAACTTTTTTCTTTTTAGTATTGAATAAAGTAATGTTATTTCATGTCTGTGTCCAACTGAGAAAATTTGCCTTCACATCCCGTTCCAAAGAAACAGCAGGAAGCTAGAGAACAACATATTCGTGTATGTAGGTGCAATGTTGGATAGCACCATATTACACTAAAGAATACATCATCCCTAAGTAAACATCACAAAAAAACATTAAAAAGGGGGACTTTAAATATGCCTTCAGTAGTGACAGTACTGTAACCACATAATATAAAATCTCACATACTTATCACAAAATTAAATAAAAACATCCCCACAATGAAAATATCCCAACACCACGAAAAGCGTAAACATATGAATATAGAGATGTACTGTACATAAAAGACCAAAGTCAATGCATTTTGTGGGATCCCCCACAGTTTCATTAAGCAATTAAAGTAACGAAGTACGGTAACTGTTGATTTATATAACAAATTGCCTAATTGTGGTTGTTATTATTTTTTTATTTTTTGCTTATCTTTACAGATGTATTTCCCTAATAAATTTTCTGTCATATATATGAGACTTGTATTTCCCCAATACATTTTTCATCATATATATTAGACCGAAGAGACCTGAAGAAGCGGAGGATCCTGTGCAATGCTATGACTTCAGTCTTCTATGCTTACATCTCTGTATTCATATGTTTACACTATACATGGTTTTAAAGTCACACTTTTTCAGGTATTTTTGTGAAGCTAGAGAAAACCTCTCCAAATTTGAGGAGAAACTGATACTTTCTCTCTTTATTACTGCTCTGGTGATAACTATAACATTTTGTATTTTCCATAATTTTTTCCCCAGTGACAACAGGGGTTCTAAGCATTCCCTACTCTGTCCAAAATGTCTTTATATACACTTTATTCACACGTAATTCCAGCATAATAGATACGTTCTGTGACTAATATCACAGAGTTTTGATACATTTCCAACCATTTCAAGCTAATCTTCAGCCTGATATATTATCTTGTTTATACTACTTTGTGTTTTGCCAGTGTTAATTTGTCCTTGTGATAAATATGTAAAATATAAAGCTGTGTTCACTTTGAATTCCCTAGTAAGCAAAGCAAACAAAAAATAATCCTAGCATGTGATTGGGTATAAAAAGTGTTCATACTTCCACTCATTTACTATTATTCATTTTGCAATGTAAACATTCACTTTGATAACAGTACAGCTTCTACTCATTTTTTCCATCAGAACCATTACATTGTAAATGTAAACATAAAGTGGGTTTTACTTGGGTATCATGTGTAAATTGAGAGGTTTATTGATGAGCAAGGATTAAACTGTCCACACTATTGTGTTGTTTGAATGAGAGTAAAAAGTGAAGATACAGTATAATGGTGAACTAGTAAGCAAAGGGGGTACAACATTGGTAATGGAGGTAGTTGGGGTAGTGGGTACAAAATGTATGTAACCTCTGCTTATATTTTCACAATTACACAATATGAGGAGAATGTATGGCTATAACACCTACCACAAGCTGGACCTAATTCTTTGATGGGTATAGAAAAGTAGCTTGAATTCTGGGAGACTACCATGTTCAATTTTATGCAACCTAAACTTACATTTAGGTATTACACAACATAAGGAGAACATATAGATATAAGTAGGAATGAGCTGTGTGTTCAGTCCGAGCATAAGTTTGGGCTGAACACTATCTATTCAGACGTTCATCTGAACACCATCCATTTAGGGCATTTGGAGTGGATAAATGTGACAACTGCTGGCTGTCAATGGTTGCTAATGAAGCGTCAACTGCTTACCCCCACTGTGTCCTTACCAACCCATTCACTTACGTAATTAGGAATCCCCGACCATGTACACAAATAGGCAGAGAATGGAGCATTACACAGTTGCCTAAATATGGTCACATGGCCATATTTAAGCATTGATGTCAATGTATCTGTAAAACAATGCAGGAAATAAACTGATGTTGCAGGAAAACCTTTCAGCATCTGAGTTATTGGAAGGCATAGAATAATTAATCTGTGCATATAATGTCAAATCACTTGACACCTCCATGCCAGTTATATGATGATGCTGTACTGCACTGGTGACAGTATGTAAAAAAAATAGTGAAAATAAAATGTATTAATTTTCTGAAAAATTATGACAAAAAAATTACAACTTCAAAAAACTCGCCATGCCTCTTATGAAGTACATCGGACTGTCTACTTTGCAAAAAGGGGTCATTTGGAGGATATCTGTACTGTTCTGACATTCTTGGACCTCAAGAAATTAGATTGGCCGTCAGTACTTCAGGATTGATCAATTTCCAGATCTATACCATAGTTTGTGAACTCTATAACTTTCCTACAAACTAAAAAATACATCCTAATTTGGGTTATTTTCACCAAAGACATGTAGCAGAATACACCTTGGCCTAAATTTATGAAGAACAATTATTTATTTGCAAACTTTTATAACAGAAACAAAGAAAAACGTTTTTTTTTTCAAAATTTTCGGTCTTTTTTTAATTTAGCAAAAAATAAAAATCCCAGCGGTGACTAAATACCACCAAAAGAAAGCTCTAGTTGTGTGAAGAAAATTATAAAATTTTAGTTTGGGTACAATGTTGCATGACTGCGCAATTGTCATTCAAAGTGTGAGAGTGCTGAAACCTGAAAAAAGGCCTGGGCAGGAAAGGGGTAAAAGTGCCCAGTATTGAAATGGTTAAAGTGGAACTTTACCCATAACAACTTAATAAAAAATATTGTTCTTTAACAAGAAACATGCATTCCACATTAATAATGATGCTACTAAAATTAGTGTATGTAAATTGCCTCCAGCATTGTTTCTGTTTCTTCTTGCTGGATGCTGCCATTTTGCTGAAGTCTGAGTCCTGAGCAGAATTAAACCTTTAGGCTGTCAGCAGAGCGGCCTCTACAAATTCAGCACAGTGCCAAAAAATAGAAAGCGAGCATGTGCAGAACAAAGAGAAGAGCAGAATGTGTATTACTACATTTTAAACAGTATAGGCACTTATAGTATTTTTAATACTTTACATAGCTATACCTGCAAAAGGGACCAGCATGAAGTGATATAACAGGACTTAATTTTCAAACTAAAGTTCCACTTTAAGACAACAATAAAAATATTACTCTGCCTAAGACACCTGCTCTTGAGTGCAAGATGAAAGTGTGACACCATTTGGCAATCCTAAATGTGTGGGGTAGGTTGCACTGAACTCATGTGCAGCGAGTGTTTAAATGTAAAAGTCAGTAAAGAGAGAAAACATGTCTAAGGGGATGATTATGCTGATGATGAACTGATCAAAGACATTGATACCACAACAAGAAGAAGAAAAAACTCCCTAAATCAATATTACAATAGTTGATAATGTGACAGAGAAACCGGTTTCATTTAAGGATTGTTTTTGTAATCACACTAGGCTTTTATTCCCATTTAGGCCCCAGTCATATCAACTCCTTAACCAACCCCACTGATGACAATAAAAGCAGCATAGTCATAATGAGATGCATATTTTCTTCACCTTATCATTTATATAAACTTTCACCTCCACCCTCATAAATTCTATATTTCCTGTGGCTCTACTACCACACAAACCAACACACAGTAGACAGCTTTTGACAAAATTATCACCTCTATCTCCATGTTCTAAAATATCATAATACCACCTAAAAACCATAGAAAGTGTTAAATGACTTGAATACGTATTGTATTGATTACCTAGTACTAGTATATGTGACATACATGTGTTTGCTGTGATTTATGCTTAAAGTATATTAAAACCCAAGAACAGAAGTATAATATACAAGAGGTGTTCAAGTCAAGCTGGGACTTTTGAGTTTATATAATATAAGAACAAATTCAAGGAGTGGAAACTGCATTTATTTTTCAACATATCCCCCCTGCTATATTGATATACTTATCCCAGCGTTTAACTAATACCTGGAAAGCTTCATCATAGAAAGGTTTGTTAGTACGCCTGGACCATTCTAGGACAGCCTGCTTCACTTTGTCATCAGTTATAAAATGCTGACCTCCGAGGAACTCTTTTAAATGGTTTCAATTTCACAACAGGTTATGCATCGATTATCCAGGATCAGGCATTCTATGCGCTGAATGTTCACAGGAATGACTGCTGTGGGCTGGGAACAACCATGGCCAGGATTGTCATTTACAGACGTATGGCCATCTTTGAAATGTTTGCACCATTCGGATGTCTTTCTGTGGCTGAGCTTCTCATCAAGGTACTGTGCTTGAAGTCTTCTGTGGATATCCACAGGTTTTATGCCTTTGTTTACTAGAAACTTCATCACCATACGCTGTTCCTTGCATGCACTAACACTGTTGCCTGCCATCTTAATTAATGGTCTCTGG